TGATATTTTTTTTTGAAAACAAGAATGGCTATAAAATCATTTAGTCGCCATAAAGAAATTAAAATTTATTTGTACAATGTATTTGTACGACAAAAATAATGAGATTGAAATTGATTTGTACAATGCATTTGTACTACAAAAATCCTCACTTGATAAATAAGAACTGACTGTGAAACATGTATATAGCACATGACTTCCTTTGTTTTCTATTGCATATAACACTATTGCGTACATGTATTTCGTTATTTTACGTGCAATATTAAAACCATGTGTTGAGCTTCTGTTATAAATAAAACTAATTTTATAAACCATTTTTTGTGTTGTAAAATTTAGTCGTGTGATAAAAATCTGACATGGGCCTCTTTTGAATAACACATTTCTGAACGCATTTCAAATGAACACTTTTGTCAAATACATAAACAAATATTATATAATATGAACATAAATATTTTAATTCAGTAAAGTACTTTCAGTAGCGTACATTTGTGCATTTATATCTGTCATATAATGACTAGTAATAGAGTGTAAAATGACTTGTATATTTTCATTGATAGCTTATTGTTGTTGATGTTTCAAAATATATTTTAAAATTTGAAAACTATATTGTAGTTTAACAAAATAATTACTCAATATATCGATTAAGAAACGCATTTATACCAATTTAAATGTATACACACGTATAAACACTTCGCTGGATCAATCTATTTCTTTCAGTAGCATAGCTATTTTGGGAAAAAGCAATACACACTTTGATTACCTAAAAAAATATAAAATTCGGAATACGCCACGAGCAAAATCTGTGAAGAATTGTTTCTCATGAATTGCAACAAGTTTGTTGGTCATTTATTACCATATGATTTCCCAAAAGGCATTGTCAGTCTGTGAGAAAGCGAAGGATTTGAAGTGACAGTAATTCTATTTGGTTTCCTGCTTGGTGATTCAGGACAGTAAACATGCAATCAATTGGATGAAACAACTTTTAAACTAAATTTGTTTTTTTATAGTTGTATGGTATGGGAGTTTTAAAAGTTCAGCTTGTTTTAGTTTGGTTTGGTTTTACGGCTCATCAACACAGGTTTTTCATATGTTAAAATTTAAGATTTGTTTCAGCATCCGTGTAGGACTTTCATGGGAAAGCTGTTTATTTTGATGATGTTGCTTTTTTAGAATTTATTAAGTTGAGTTATTTCACATATAGTAAACTGAAAGAAACTGTTTATGTGGACGCATTGAATACATTGTAAACACATAAAAATGAGGCGTAATGTTATTGTAATAATGGAACTAAAGGCGTATGCCACACTTAAGGAAATATCACATTTGTTTTCTTTTAGAAGATATGATGAATATACTTTTGAATAGCTAACATATACCCAGTATTACACAAATATTTGTCCGTGATAAAAAGTCTATACTGGAATACTTACATTGAATGATTGATGCAATTCAAATCACTTTCACAAATGTATAGAAATGGATAATAAAACAGCCCTTATAGCTTTATAGTATGGTTTTATTGTATTTTAAATGAAACGTCGCTTCGAGTCAGACCTGTTGTACGATGCTCAAATACGCTTGAATGACTTGTCTATGATGACATGTGAAGAGAGGGAAATAGAATATTTTGACATGAAAATATAGAAGGTCAATCCATGAAGATTCCTTTGATTTTTGTTAACGGAATTTCTATGCAATGTATATAAGAGCTTCAAAGACTTTTACACGTGGCCTTGTCATAAGAAATTATATATTGCACATCTTGAATTAGTGATAACTCCATGCAACTTTTCTAATTACGAAAAAGCGGGAAAGTAAAATAAATACCAATGGATAGAAGCTGCAGCAGGGGATTTAACTTCAGTGATGAGTGTTGAGCTTTCATGTTTAAATCTGAAATAAATGACAACACTCATAGATCAATTAAAAGATAAAAGGTACTGAAATCCCTTTGGAATGAACTTATGCAATTAAATTATTTTAATGATGGAACAATTTTATAAGGAAATCAATAAAAGCAGAATGCCTAGTTCAGTGAGCAGGGAGGGAAAGTAAAAAAGGAGCCTTTTCTGGAAAAAGAAAAAAAGATATTTGAAATCCTTTAAATAAGAATAAGCTAAAAGTAGAACATGTTGGTCTGTTAAAAAGGTTACGCGCTATAGCTTATACATTTCTTTAAAGTCACTTGTATAGGGCGTGATTTGTTATTAGTTTCTAGCTCAAGACCCCACGGCTTCGATGCGTTCACCGCTCAACTTTACAGCGTACTTTTGAGGTCTTAACATATATTATTGGGTATAAAGATTTTTGACATGTTATATACGGTCATATAACCTGTCAGGAATATTTATAACGAGTTATAATACAGCAAACTATTTTAGAGACAATACTGAGGTTTCTGCAGAAAATGACAGCAGTCGGGAACATGTATATAAATTTATATAAACGTCACTATTATCCAATCAAAAGCGACGTTACAAACGTGCAGTATAAATAAATCACTGTAACACTAATTCTAATCGTTGTTGTAAATGATTTAATGATTGAAACAATTTTACACAATAAACATACATTCAAATCGACGGATTGCTTTTCACAGTACAATATTAAGATAATGTAGAAATAAACAAGATAAAGCATTATTGCTTATTGACAAGATTGGTTTCCTTCTGGCATTAGATAAACTTCTGCAATACCATATTAATGAGACGACGGGCATTGCAAGTAATAAATCTTTTGAATAATGTACTTAGGTAACTCGAATGATCCCTGGCTTGGAATAATTGAGTTAAAAGTCTTATTTTGTGCAAAATGATTTCCCCAAAGGCGGGATAATTACGTTACCATTTGCGTAACTCATTCACTAACATTGACAACTATTGGACTTTATGTTCTTGCTGAGGTGAACAAGACGCTGTTTTGAATAAGTCAGACATAAATACTTGAAAAATGAAATTTTCCTGTTCCCCAAAAGAATAAATAACATTTATAAGAATTTATCTCAACATCGAATTTCCGATATAATTAGATTATGACAATAAACCATCCTGTATATGTATTTGATTTTATTATACAGATTTTGTGTTAACGCAAAAAGAAACACGATCGTCATTTCAAGACATGTGTATGAATGAAATGTTTGATTATACACATGAAAATGAAACAAAAAAAGAAATTTTAAAAGAATATACTTGAATTGTTGAATTGCATTACACATATTTCCGCACTCAGGTGTTGTTTTCCCAAGGGCAATTGAATGTATTGCTCAGTGTAACTTGTCTTCGAGAGCTTTTTAAAGCAATTTTTGTTCTTTGGACATAGACTTCGGATGATTAAAATTGTGTTTCTTATGTAGCACATCGTACATCACAACCTTGTTAGACAAAAAGGAATCTCTTTACACAGTAAGAAAAATTTAATAGACACACCATGATGACACGTTTCAATGCTGTTGAAATTTGAAATACGTGCTAATAAACGTGTGAGTATAGAACTATCGACAGAGATCTTGTTTCATATTAAATCATTGTATATTGCGAGGGCGGCTTCATTGCTATATGAATGATTGTAAAACCAGATATTGCCGATAAGTTTTGTTTGGTATTGGCTTTTGAATAATTGTATTTTAATTGATATTGCCGATTTCTGTTGACATACACCGAGAACAAAAGCTGCAAATCAGACAGTATTGATGTCGTTTTTAAATGTAATTTTACAGTAAAATTTCCTGTTTAAAAGGGACAAGGCTTGACAACTATTCCTACGCATTATGTATGTAATTGGTGTTATTTTACCTTGCACATAATGGCTGAATACTGTTCACATTGTAATGTTCACAAATAAATATAAGCTGATATGTTATTTGATATGCATTTTGAAATGCGCAGTAATTATTTAGATAAATGCTTGTTATAATCAGTTATAGGTTAATTTTACTTTTATGGTTTGTATTATGTCAGTTGCTTTCTTATTTAAGAAATTCTACACAATCAATATCTATTTTTATTGTCCTAAATGGAGAAATACGGTCTAAAACTTGCCATTAAGGCAATTAGTTTATCTACCAGTAACAAGGTTCTAATAAAGGAAAGTATGAAACATGCATATTTCATGACCACAGAATAGTTAACACAGCTGCTGTTTGAGGAAATATATTTACTTCGTAACTGATTTAAAACAAATAACACAAAGTCGTTTGGACTATGCAGGGATAATATGAATTACTTAACCTTCTATAAATTGCTCAGTAAATGTATTTTTAAACAAAATGTCCAAATTTTACAAGTCATTACAAGTCAGTTTCAGATCTAAGTTTATTTGTTTAATGGTCGTGCCTATGATTTAAAACGTTTGAGTCTAAAAAAATGTTTTAAAAATGTTCACATGTAAGAAAATTATACAGGTAGTTCACAAAAAACTTAAATACCTGGAATAACAAACAGAATGACATCAAAATAAGTCTCCCATTATGTAAACGGAATATCGCCATATGACGCTTTAACAATTTATCGCCTAATCACCGAGGGAAAACGTTTGATAATTGAGTGCAGTTTTCACTTATTTGAGCACACAAATAAACAAAATCCTTTATTTTAATTCAATCTAAAGGATATTTGTTTTTTTCAAGTGCTAACGAAACAAGTTTCCAATAACTAAAAACGACCGTATTTTATTGTCGTCAAGAAACTCTTTCAGCAACCATTTGTTCTAATTTGTAAACCATCTATCAAGCTAATTAGATAATCAGCACTCCTTAAATTAGGAAGTAGCCTAAGTATGTTAATGATGAGGATTCTCGCACCATTAAATCTTGCAGTTTACGTCAAAGACAAATTCACTTAGCACATTATTGGAACCGTACTGTAACGAACTGCAAATTAATTTATATTTTGTTTTCCCATAAATTAACAAACACCTGCTTTTATGATAATTTTATTATTTAGTTGAAATATTATTTAAATGTGATGGAAAAATATCTTATACTATTTTATTTTCTTTTTCAGAACCAATTGCATAGAAGAAAGCGAGCCTTTGAATGAGAATGGTAGACATAATAATATTAAGGTACTAATTTATATATTTTGTATTTTATAAATAAGTACTTTTACCATTAGTTGTGGCATATTAACTGAACAGTGTTGATACCTTCTTAAAATGCATCATGCATCAGACTGCTTAGTAAAAGCTGCCTTTACAAAATTAGTTTTGGGTTATCAAATCTTTTGTCTTTCCTCCGTGAGCTTAAAAGTGCGAATATTAATGAGACTACAAACTTAGAATATTAGATAAATATTATGAAAGTGTGCGTTTTGTCTTTTAATTATTCGATTCTTGAAAAGCAGAGCATTTTACTTTAAAGCAACTATCTTTTTTCTGTTTCAAATCTTTCTCAGCTATTTTGGTGTTTTTATAATTCAAAAGAGTATATGCTTTGCTTTATTTCCTTCCGAACTTATAACATAATAAGCGCATACTGATCTTGTTTAGACAAAGGTGACTTTTTCAACTATAAGAAAACAACCTTTCATTTTGATGATTGTTGTGTCTTGTGCTACACAGTAGCCGCAACATGCTTCAAAATAGCCGCGACATACAGGGAACAAACCGTCATCATCAGACGACACATGCAATAACGGATCCCTTTAGAGGGACGTCATGCATCATTTTTACTCTAATTATTCATTACTTATGTTATTTTTTGTGATTTATCGTATTATGTTATTCAAAAATATGTGCAATGTACCCCGATACCAACTTTAGCAATAACACAAGCTGTTACACAAGTAAATTCTTAATTTTTATCAAATACATGTAAATATGAAACACAGCTAGTATTTGTAACAATGATTACTAGTGCCTGTAAAAGCAAAACAAAAATAAGTTGATTATACGTGTATGTTACTAAGCTTACTTTAAGAGAAAAGGGAAATTTAGTTATACCCTCTTACTTGTCAGATTTCTCATTAGTATATAGATTTATTAAGATTGACTTGTCAGTATCAAGCACTTCTTGAAAGAGTTCCGTATTGTTTCCTAATTAAATAACATGATTTATCAAAGACAAATTAGTTGCTTCTGTTATTGGTCCTCGACGTTGTAACCCTCATTTTCTCATTAATGTTCCCGATTTATCCTATTTGTTATAATGTAGTGAATTGCACTTGAAAGTTTTCATTATGTCCTTCAGCCGAATTTGCTGGGGTTTTTGTGTTTGTTTATTTGTGTTTTTTTCCTTCTAATTATTGTTTTACATGCTGACATTTCAGTAAACGTTGTTTTCTATTTGTACCCCTATACAAACTATTTTGGTATTGGAATATCATAAATAGTATTTTTATAAATTGCTCTTCATGGTCATTTCATTGAGATACTCATTTAAACCTTAAATTGATTTGAAATATTGTATTAATGCATTCATAACAAACTGTAAATAATCTTGTTTCTACATTTTTTAACTGTGCTTCCATGTCAAATGACAATGAAGCCATGTGCAGTAATCGCCAGATTACAAAAGCATGTTGCCGATTGTGAAACAATTGGTCTGTACTCATTAACCCGCATTAGACGGATTGGAAGTTACTGTAATCGTATCGATGGAAAGAGATCTGTTCCAGCAGGTCTATGCAGAATTTAATTCTTGGAATTCATCATTTTCAGTCACGTTATAACCTAATTGTCTACCCCTGGTTAACTACCGTTATCCGCATTTGACATCTGTTTAAAAATGGTTGTTTCAATTAAAAGCAAGAATACATTTAAGCGGGAGTATTGTCTTATTATATTCATTTGCAAACACTTGATGTCTTAATATAAGATTGTTTAATTGTAATCTCTAAGAGAAAAAAATACGTTTAACGATTTTCCTAATTTGTTACCATTGCCATATCCCCCTGATATGTCTAAGGATTTCAATATTTGATGACACTGTATCGGAGATAATCTAATTGTCTATGATGTCAGATAGTCTGGTGATAAAATCATACACTCTGTTACTCTGATCATAGAGGCAAGAACATGGAGAGTAATCTTTTTATTGTGATCAATACCAACGAATCTCTCCGCCTTTCTTTTATTTACATCGCCGGCAATGCTTTGATGTAAGCCCACATTCAGACACTGTTCATTGTACTGTATTGATAGGGATCTTAAAGGATAAATCTAACTAATCAAGATATGATGCCGTTCTGTATAAAGGTATGGTAATTAAATAATTTGTTTTATCATTTTTGTCATTTTAGCAAATTATAAACGTCCATTTGTAACACGGTAATTACACATTAAAAAGATGTATTGGAATTGTTTATCAATTAGCACAGCGTGTCGTATTTAATTGATGCGATGGTATGCTGTGGAGTAAGGCTTATATAATTATTACAAGTATTGTAATAATATGAAAACTATCTTCATCAATATTTGAAACAAATACAACAACAACAACAACAACAACAACAATTTATTTCAGCATTAAGTAATATACATTTACTTCTAGCCTACAATAATATAATAATGTGTAGTGATAGGTCATATATAGATTACATAAGTGTTATTATTTAAACAAAGGAGCTTTTGGTTAGTTACACGAGATTCTTGGTTCATTTTAAATAGATGATTACTACTGTTCTAATTCTGTTCTCCGTTTGTTAGCAAAATATAGATATTTAGATAAATTGATAATTTCTTTCTTATTTTGAGACATCATTAACTTATCAAATTTTTGCAATGTTGGCCATGTAAAATAATAACGCTTCAAAAATTTGTGTCTTAAATCTATATATATCGGGCAAGTAAGTAGAAAATGGTACTCATTTTCAATGAGTAAAGAACGACAAAATTTGCAAGTTCTTTCTAATCTTGGAATATTATAGTATCTACCCCTCTCAATTTCAAGATTGTGTGATGATAGACGAAATCTACTAAGAGCAATTTTGAAACGTCTTTCTAAACTGTAATAATCAAGATAAGGTTCGATCGAAAATGAATACTTTGTCCTACAATATGTTAAAAGTCTTTGAGAGTTATTTATTTCTGAAAACCAGGTTTGATGATATTGGTCTAATATTCTTTGTTTTATAAATTCAAAAACAGGAATATGTTGATATTTATGTAAATCGTTCCACATATCTGAAAGACCCAGTCTGTTTAATATTGTTTTAATTTGATATGCCCAGTTTTGGCCATTATAAGTTATATTGTTATCTGCATCTAGTTTTAGCATATTATACATTTGTTTTATTAGTTTGTTGTCTTCTAATTTTTGAATTTTTAACCAATACCTAATCATGTTTATTTGTCTTACAATTTTCATTGGTTCTCTACCAAGTTCTCCATATAATCCTGTCAGATTTGTTGATATATTAACAACTAGGATTTTTTCTGCAAAATTTAGTGTGAATCTTTTCAATATCACTACCTTCAATATTTCCCCATACCTCCGAACAGTAATTAAGAATTGATGCTACTAATGAATCAAATAATTAACATTTTTCACTAGTTTTGAATTCATATTGATGAAGAATAGCAAACAATCTATAAAGTGCTTTCGATGCATGTTCTGCTATGCTTTTTGTGTTCGTGACCAGTTTCCATTTTTAAAAAGGTATATTCCCAAATATTTAAAAGACGTTACTATTTCAAGTTTTTTGCCATAAAGATGAAAATCAAAATGTGTAGGTCTGCCTCTTTCGAAAATCATAACTTTGGTTTTATCTATGTTTATTTTAAGTCCAAAGGTATTACAATATATTTCGATGTCCTTAAGCATGCTTTGTAAGGTGTCGGGATTTGTAGTAAATAATACTTGGTCATCAGCATATAAAATCAAAAATAGACTAAGACTAAATAAAAGCATCGATAATGCTTACAACTGTTTATGATGTTTTATGTGTGAAGAATTTACCTATTGAAGTTATTTTTACTGTATTATTTCATTTAGAAATTTTAGTTTAATACAATGGTTACAATTGTATTTATTATTATCTATATAAATTGATTCATATCATTCTGTAAACGTTTCTTTTTGTAGATAAACATACTTATTTGAATATATTTACCAAACAGCTCTTAAAACTTATTTTCATTATTTGAGAAAACGATCTGAAAAACAAATTCACGTTCATATATCATTTCCTTGGCCCACTTAAAACCATTTTATCAATTAAATCTATATCTATACATGTAAATATTTTATAAAAGAAGGATTGTACACCTACGTGACAATATTATAATAATGACCAACAAAATATTACTCTCTAAGAGTTATAGTTTCTTATTTCTATATTGTTTTCATTAAACTCGTGATAGAGATTATTATTGCTTGTTTAATTTCTTATTAGCAAAACATGCTTAGTATGCAAGTTTATATGTCTTATTTCATAACCACAAATAACCAATTTCCTTTCGTGTTGATTAACAACTGACATTTTATATTCAAGCTATAGAAACGTTTATCCACAATACGTTACTTTATACAAGATATACGCACAATATTACATTGATATAAAAAATTTCTAGTGCTAACTGATGATAAAAATTTTAGCCATGCAATACTTTCATCAGCAATAACGTTTGATTTATGTGTTCATAAATCTAGTAAATAAGCACTGTAATCGCATCTTCCCAGACTTAGAGTCCGCAAAGGCAGCAATAGTGTATGCAAACGAAAGGAAATAAAGGTATCAAAATGTGGATATTTGTCATGACATGATAATTATGTCCACATAAGGCAAAGTTATTCCATGTGTTTTATATAATTTGCCATTAGTATGTAACTCTTTATCTTTATACAAACGTAATTAAAAGATACATTTGGTATTAATACAGTCAAATATTGATGGAATCTTTAAATTAGTGAATAGATTTCCAGCATGAGTTAGGTATTAAACTGATTAGGCATTCCTTTCCTCCAATATGAGTAAATTAATGATTGATTTGTGTGTTGCACACGTTTCGTTTTAAATGTATTTTACATTGTTCTTTCATTTCATACATTTTCATATGTCTTTTTATTGATAAAGCTTAAAGCAAATTTTCTATCGATCATACACCGTAAAAGTCTGGATATTTTAATATCACTTTAAACATATACGTTTTCGTCAGTTTAAAGGTAATTTGTCGTGCGTAATATGTTTCTCGTAAAACATTTCTGTAAGCACATGTGCCTTATATTCGGTGTGGAGGCAATGTTGTGGTTAAGAATGCAATACCGTCATAGGACGTAGAACACAATGACTAGAAATTGCCTTGCCAGACGCAGTAGGAACATTGTGTTATTGGATAGTTTGAGAGCATTCTGCCCAGGGTCATGTCTGAGTGAAACAACAATCTAATCTAGAGTAATTAAATAGTCACGTACATCTGTTAGGTTACTGGAACTTTATGTAAAAACCTTAATCCTAGAAGTGTTACTGAAATGTTCTGGTTTTTTTGGTAATCAAATCACATAATATTATATCGAACTGAAGTATTCTTGGAATGGTTTCAAATGATCAAAGTTTTAATATTTCAGTAATACAGTAAGAACTTTGCTAATTTTAAAATAATGAAACTATACAATTTATTTTCAAGAAAGAGACAACATTTTACATTGTTACACTGAATAAAGGGCATACTAAAATTACCAACAAATTAAGTACCATGCCAATTTGACGATCTGTGTTGCTCTTAGTGACCTGATTTTAGACATAAGGTGCCGCAAACCAAACGAGGATATGTAATTTGTAACAGAATGTGTGCTCATTTGTTATTTTCTTTAATTTTGTCGAGTTCATTTTTCTTAATTCATCGTTACTATGGTATGTTTTTTTACGTTTACGGTTTATAATCGGTTGTCTTCGGATAAAACGCACGTAATGCTTCGTATGAAAAGAAGTGTATAAAATATATTCACTTGTTGTCTCTGTCCGAACGTGTAGTGTAAGAGACATATTTTCTTTAAATGACATAAATATACAATATAATGGACGTACTTCTAACATGTTGCTTACAACAAATTTCATGAAATTACTACTAATTTAAATGTTATTCATCTGTTTGAGAACCTATATTGGACTTTTAATGTCTCTCGTGAACAGACTCATGTCACCTTTTGCAAAATTATTATCATTCGTGTGGAACTAAATTCCGTAGTTTTTCGGAAATAGGTCGATCCACGAATTTAAGATCCGACAAAATTTCATTTCGTCTGTAAAAATGTTCTTTGTGTCAAAACGTCTCAGTGTCGTGCGCGCGAAAATAAGTGAATTAACAGTAACCATCTTTGTTTTAATTGATCCCGAGGGTTATATATAGTTTTATGGTCTTCCGTAATGAAAAACAAATGCAATTATCTATTAATCAACAAACTCGTAAAATGCATGTATCGTACTAGAGACACTCTAATGACTTTGAGTAGAACTTTTTCGAAAATCTAGGATGCTCCAAATATACCAATGTATCAATTTTTCATACCAGTAATGGGAAAAGTGTCAGATTTTATAAATCTTTTCTTGTGGTATATATTGAAATATGTAGAAAGTTCAGAAGTTCATTTGTCCTATAATTTGTCAATGTTTTTGCGATAAGATAAATGAAAAGAAACAATCAAAGAATTTCTGCCACTTACGGACATAATCGAAAAGGTCAAAATCTTACAGTTAATTACTTTGTTGTAAATTATTTTAAGAAGTTGCGTATTTATCTATACTTTAACAACCAACTGCGGAGCAAGTTCATATACATTATACATAACTCAAGAGAACGATTAGAGAGATATTGTAACAAATTAAAAAAAGTTAAAATATTTGCTACACGAAATCGTGTAAGTACGTTTTTTTGTATACTTGGATTTGCTTTCAACAATACATTAATTACGACATTTTTTACGCTTAACAAGTCCATTATATCCATTACAAAATTATACCGGAGACAAATTTGTGTTTGGTTTGCCAAATTGATACACATTCCAGTTTCATACCAAATGCCACAAGTTCGGCAATTATTTCTGATAAGAAAGAACGTTTCCGCGTTTATCATTTATTTATTTAATTACAGTCTTATAAAACCATATTATTAAATACATCTGTTTCTGGAATTCCATGAAACAAATGTTCACTAGGTGATATAAATAATTCAACGAATGCTTTGGTATATTTTTGGTGTTATTTATTTAAATTTGTTTGGTTAGTTCTTCGGTTTAAAGAAAAACACTGTCAATGTCATATGGCGACTTTAACTGAAGCTGATGGAGGAAAACCTCTAGAGTCCTATAATGCACTTATTCAGAGTCGAACCATCGATTTACTGTAAGCTAGCAGGACAGCTTACTTACACGAAAGACCAAAATTCCTTGTGTGATTCGAACCAACAACGACACTTAGCATTTAGCAAATGGTTTAAAGTCAAAGGCCTAAACAAATCGGTCAATTCTATTAAGAAGCAACACAAACTACATTTCGAATACGATATAACGTGAGATATTCTAATCTAATCTAAGAAACTAGAAATATTGCATTTTGGATAACTTATTATTGGAGAATATTCTATTCTTCTATTTGAAGTTTTGTGTTTTTAGTATCTTTTGTAAGCAAGGTTTTCCTTTTGTTTCAATACATGCATGTATTTTGGTTTTGTTTTCTGTTTGGGTCTTATTTTTTAAGTCATACTTTTATTACACTACCTGCAAAGCTTTTCTGCTAACTTGTTATGCTGCTAAGCACATAAATATGACGTCAATATGATGTCGTGTTACTTTCAAGCAACAACACATAATATTCAACAATACTTGTATGACACATTGTCGTATGTATTTGAACTGTAGGATAAGCTATAATTATTTGAACTCTATATGAAATGTCAAATCTATATCCAGACACAATTTTTACAGGACAAAAAGAATAAGAAGTTGCATTCCACATCATCCAACTACGGAGAGTCAGAGAAAGGTCTCATTCAATATATCAAGAACGCGTCTTATGATTCTTTTAAAAGGCGTGGTAGTCATGAGGTAGTTAGATAATGAAATCAACATTGGTTTCAGCTTTGACGCACATCTCTAGCTTTTACTCATGCTTGCTATGGACTTTCATATTAATCTTCTTTCAGCTAACTTGTAACAAACATAAACTTTTTCACAAAATATCACATTTCAAATCAACGTTTTGTATTTATATGTTTATGGATATACATATAATTATAAATGCAATTGTTGTCCTAGAAACTATTTCTTATATTGATTACTAATATATTTAACATAATAATTTTTAAGTAGCGCTACGATAACACAATCCGTGATGTCGGGTGTCATCTATTTAGAAGTTGGGCATTTGTATGTTCAGTTCTTTCATTCATTGTTTTGCCGATGGATTATGGCAATTGTGGTGAAATGTGATAGAAAAAGCGGAAATGTTTCGGACAACTAGAAATTTAACCCGTTTACTAACACTGTTATAATAATTAGTTTGGCTATTATAATTATTACCGTGTTTGTTTATATCAACATTGTATAATATATGTCATTAAAAAGATGTTTCACAGGTAATATGGCCCACTTTAGATTGGTATCACGCCTACTACAAAATACTCTTCCTTTCCTTACTATATGTTTAGTTGTCACATTGTGGCTAGATAAATCCTATATTAGGCTACTACCAGAATATATTGAGCAAGATTAACATTTAATGTGGCTGAGCATGGTAGGCTCAACAGCGTTTTTATAGTTTGTCCTAGATATATGACGACGAGGAAGGTAGTCAGCCTAATATTATTGTAATTTTGTAATTTGGTATTGGCCTAATATGGGATATACGGTCATATTACCTGCTAAAACATTAAGAAAGCAATCAATTAAAATTAAACCACTTCAGCGACAATGATATATAATTTGTCAGCAGCCATGAATATAAGTAGTTAAAAAAAATTGACGAGATAAATAAAACCACATATATAAACGGTTATTTGTTAATATAATCCAAGCCTTTATCCCTATAACTAGTTCATGATACTGCAAACTTCTTTTCTGTAAAATAATAAATTACTTTAAATAATAAAAGCCGCCTAGTACATATTATTATGGAAAGCGATGTTTCAAATGTGTTGTATTATAAAAACCAATTTATTATACTGCACATTTCAATTATCTATCAGTATGCGATTAAATCGATTGAAAATTATTCAAGAAACTAAGACGCTATGATAAAAAAAAATCTTGCTAGATATAGCTTCAAATGTTTTTACACGTAGCTAACTTACTATCTACCTTCAAGATCGAGGTACGTCGTTTATTAGTATAAACATACAGCTTATCCGTTTCTTATCTGGAATAGTACTTAGTATATTTTTTCTCTTACAGTAAACATTAATTTTTAACACGACATCGTATTATAAGAGTGTTTAAAATATATACAATAAGTTTTAAAAGATTATTAATACACTAAATGATATCTTATTAGAGACCAAAGCATTCTCATGATTCAAATTCTTTCCATCCATAGTAACTTCTAAACTTAGTTTGAAGGATGCCTTTAAATCCATGCATAGTGTTTACAACGTCTATACCTTCTGTATGTATTCATGCTTCACGTAGATTCATGTCTGAAACTATTCTTATTATTGCGTTTTGCACTGAAACCATTCTTATTATTGCGTTTTGCACAAATGGTGGCGGGGAGCTTATGATATAATAATGTTTCTTAAAAATAAAAGAAAAAGGGATGTGGTTTATAAATCAATATTTATGAAATGCTTTAAAAGAAAGGTAATTAAGAATTTGAATTATTCTAAACACAAATTATCTTATATCTTAAATTTCAAATACTCAACTGTAGTTTATATTCTGCATTTTCATTTATTAACTTTTATCTTTCTATCAACTTTTTCTATTATGATTTTCATACACTTTAATTTTGAGTTCTGACAAAATCTTTTGTTTAATATAATTTTTTACTTTCTTCTTTCATTATTTTATTTCAATAAATGGTAACACACATGAGTTTGTATTAGCACATACCTTTTTGTTTATAGGGATAGTATATTTTCAGAAGCCATGTACTAACACATATCAAAACTGAAAGTCATACTTCTGATATTAAAAATTGTTTTGTTGTTGTTGTTGTTTTTCAGATGGAAGACGCCCCATTCCAAGACAGTCGTACTGGCTCAGAAGAAGACTTTCTAGAATACGACGATGATGACCCAGTGTTTAACTGTGATGCCTGTAAAAGAAGAAGACGGTTGACGGGAATAGAGAAAGCTTTAATTGCTTTCGGTGTAGTTTGTGTTATAATTATCATCGCACTTGCTGCTCATATTGGCAAAAAGAAAGACGTTAAAGGTAAATCTAAAGAGAGATAAACGTTAAAGAAAAAAATTTTTTTTTATTTCTTATAAAGGTGATCAATAATGAAAACTGGTTAAAATTATTGTTATTTTTTAGTTGTTTTTTCTTTGTCGAATGTTCTTATAACATCTTAAACAATAACGTGAAAAAATGTATTTGACACGATAACTTTTTTAAGAGAATAATTGAGAATAAAATTGGGACAACATATATTTTTAATTATGGCTAATTAATTTATTTTTTAATTGATTTATTAATTGATTGATTGATTGATTGATGTTCTAGTTCCTGAAAAATGTGAGAGCGCAGGTTGTTTAAAGGCAGCAAGTTCGTTATTAGGAGCAATGGATCCTACAGCAGATCCGTGTGAAGATTTTCACCAGTATGCGTGCGGTGGTTGGCTCAAAGAAACACCTATACCACCGGGATACCGGGTATGGGATAGGTTTCAAGAGTTAGCGTATAAAAATATGTATATGTTAAAGGACTTTATAGGTAAGTGCTTAGTCAAATTATTAGCTTGTAAAACATCGTTTGTTCAATTTTTTCTAATGTTCTGCTTAAAAAGCGCACAATTTCGTTCAAAGATATTGTGTACCTGGAATTCATTCACACGATAAGTTAATTATTAAAACAAAAAACACCCCACAAACAACAAATCACGTCGTAATCGAATGTTATGCAGCTTGTATTGTTTATTTCGTAAGAAAAGGAATGGGTACTGTTACATAAACAATGGTTACATGACGATTTACACGCACCAGATATAAATTAATAATGTTTAAATGTGTTTCGTATCTTTTCTTTCAGAATCTCACACATTACACAGTCCAGCACAAGAGAAAGTTCGTATATTTCATAAAAGTTGTATGGCCGAAAGCAAAGTTGGTCGGCAAAAAACTCTGAATGACTTTAAAGGTCTGCTGGCTAACATATCAAAAGATGGTCAGGTTTTCAATCTGATGAATACGTTATCAGAAGTTCATAAACTCAACACATGGCCATTATTCCAAATAATGGTTGGACCAGATGAGCGTAATCCAGTCCATAATATTATAAAGGTATTCTTCTGTTCTGAACAAGATATGAAAACCATTCAAAAGTTAAGACTAATGAATACTGAAAAACGTGAAGAGTAACTTTAAGAAAAGGAATGTTTAAAGTGATGTCCATTCCGAGAGCGCTTACGTTTGTTGTAAAATGTAAAACATACTTTATTTTAATAATTGTTATTGTTATATAAATTGCATTATTTTATTCTAATCTATTACATGAATTATTTTATGTTGTTCATTATTGTTATTATTTTTCTTATCATTATTTTTATTATTATATAGATACATGTTTAATGACTGTATTACAGATTGAAGCGGCAAGCTCGCCATTTCCTTACGGTATTTTCAAATCGGAAGAAAAGAAGTTGTTACATCAGAGGAGCGCTAACAACACTGCCGAAACAGAAACAAGGTTTGTGATTTAGTCAATGATTTAAAATATTTCGCATGTAGAACAAAACTTGCAACAATGATTTAAGCTATATTGTGCTACATGTTCATATTTTTACCTATTTGAAATCTTAAATTATTGTCAATATGGGTTAATGATAAAGAATAATTACAAAATTGAATGTTACATATTTTTAATATAACAAATAATACATGAAAACAATATATTACAGCGGAAACGATACAGACACTTCAGGACCAAGTTCTGTCGCACCAAATCTAACTACAACGACGAATGGGACAGAAAATAACAATAACGAGACAATTACAGAAGCGCCAACACCAAGAACAACAACAAAACTTCCACATATAAAACATACCCACCCTCATCCTGTACACAACCTGTCAGATGTATGTATAAACTGATTACTGCTTTTCACATAGCCAAGCCAACACATGTCCTATTAATGTGAAAGGTATTATATGAAAAAGTGTCAATTTATAGGTTATGCTACAGTGATTAAGAAATGTGCATTTAATGTATTGTCAAAAAAAATCCTATTTTCTTCCAACATTTTACAAAATAATATAAGCTTATAAATGTGACATTGCCATTAAACGTATCACTGATGCAACGGACAGTTCATTATCCTAACCCGTCGAAAATCAGCTTTCGTTGCACTCAATCCTACCACTCAAAGTATGATAATCAATGATCCCGACGAACTTCAAAATGTAACAACTCTGCGATGAAGAAGCACTGTGCAACTTTGTACAGATGTCACACAGCACTGTACATATTGTTTTGAGAAAGGGGCTTACCATTTTACTATGTTAATATTCTTAAGCCTGTAAATTGATGGTAATGCTAGTTCCTATTTGATACACATCAATAAAACATTCTTTAACGTTACAGTTGGTAAAAGATTATCTGAAGGAAACGTCACTGTTGCTGCAAACTCTATGGGACAAGCAGAAAGAGGAAGCAGACAACTTGGCTGAAATGCTTCTTGTTTTGGAGAAAAAGCTGTCCCTTGTAAGTTGCTCTTTTACTGAAAATAAATTATGAATGAAACAACCAACAAGGTAGCTTAGTTCATTGTTTTTCTCTAAAAAGTAGGGCATCTTTCTAACTGCGTTCTCCTTTTATTATTTTTATCCATTTAAGGTGAAAAATAATAACAAACAATGAACATAGAAAAGCGATATTTGAGTTTTAAGATTTTTCTCAAATAGCTGAATTTGTAATATAAATTAAATTATTGACAACTAAATTCCGAACTTGTAGAATTTTATTTACGATGTGCTCATGCGCTATCTGCGAAACACGCCATATATAAGTATATGTTTGCTCTTTTGTTCAGGCACATGACATAGATCTTCATATTCATAACCGAACACAGGCTTACAATGCGATGAAAGTGAAAACCCTGCAAACCAAATGTGGCAACATGGTATGAAAATTACAAACACGCATGTTAGTTTTAAGATTTAAATTAATGAAATAAATTTGAAATTGAAAATACTGCAAAACAGATGTTGAAACATGATATGAAAAAATAAATGTTTCACAGTCACGTTTTTTTTGATAACAGTTTATAAAACGATTTGAATCTTAGACTTATGAAATGTGTTTTTTCCAGTGATTTTACCCAAGGAATAACTTACTGTTTTAAACGCCTTATGGTAAATATATTTGTTTCTTTGTATAACTTACCCAAAATTTTTACGTAACTATTTTATAAGTTTATTTCTGAGAACTTAACAACGTCCCGATTCTATTATAAACACGTTTTCACTGGCTGCTTGCATATTCTTAAGATAATATTTTCATTCTGAAACATAGATTCCATGGGCAAACTATTTAAATGGAATTGTCGGATCTCCATCCAAACGCATAGCAGATCAAACAGAAGTAATTGTCTTACACGAGAATGCGTTATTAGAGGTGTGCGTTATTGTAAATGAGTACAAACAAAACAAAACTTTAACTGGGTAAGCTTTGACTATCTTATGACGTTATTTATTAGTTCGATATCATTTAAATGATGAAGCAAAGCATAATAGTAGCATATAAAGGCTACCGTTACCTTAGTCTGCTATTATCGTGCGGCTAGTATATACAAAGATAAACCAGTACATCATAGGCGTCTAATCATGTTCTTTAATATTTGCTATTCCGTTATTTATGATTATATCAATTTCTCAACCAATTAGGAAGTTTTGATCTAATTGAAGGACACAATTTATTTGATCTTTGCATGATAAGGAGAACTTTTAATCACACAATTTTAAAGTAAATATATAGTATACTTTCGTAATTTTTCGGCTGCGCTTAATAAAAATTATTAACTGTTATTTAATCATAAGGAGTGTCTTTTTCAGAATCCTCTCACAGTACATTGCACTGAGTATTGCAAGATCTATGTTTAAATACTTTGACTTAAGCACATTTGACCCTGAAGTGGACCAAGCTACAGGTAATTCTTTTTAGTTCTTTAATTGTTTTTAAAGATGTGTAAAATATATAAAGCGATAAAGGTGTTGTTTTATGGAAACAATTGTTTCATGACAACTCAATAAATTGATTTTCTAAATTGTACTTTGTGTTCATATGATATCTTATAAGTGTACAGTACATATACTGAATACATTAAAAAGCGATATAACAGTTATCAATCAATATCTAATAGTCTATACTTGTTAGTTTTACAAAATTGCATTACATCTAAGGTTATATGGCATCCACATTGGCGGATGTATTGTGCCATGATTTTTATGCATGTTATTTAATGAGTTTTAATTTGCAATTCAAATTATTTATGTTTGTGATTGATCATTTATATTATCCCATTTTTGTCCGAATCTTTTTTTCTCATGTCCATGTCTTGATATTTTAACTTTATATTTAAATGTTTTAGATGTAGACATGGAAGGCGAGCATTGGAGAAGATGTACATTTTATACAAACAAGGCAATGGGATTAGCCACCGGTGCTATATACGTGAATGCAACGTCTATAGATAAATCGATGTCCAGGGTAATTGTCATACACTTGTCATTTACTATTATATTGCACTTATGTTATATTGTTGTTTGACCTTGATTTAGAAAGATTTACTTAATATTTCATAGCACAATTGTTTGCATTATTTACCCCTAAAACACTTTCTGTAACACGTGAATGCTCATTTCTATACTTATAAATATATTGCCTACATAACTGACTATTTATAAGTTAAGATAAACTAAACGGAAACAAGTTTAAAAGTTAAACTTTGTTTGTTTTATGTTTCATAATTTTAGAAATTAAAAAGAACCCGACATACTTATATATTAGGACAGTCATCCATGCTTTATCTCAATGTATATTAATGCTTCACAATATATTGTTGCTATTTATACTCAAAATTATAAGTTTCTGTCTTTATATGTAGGTTAGCTTTATAACTAGCATACTTGTAATCGCAATGAACGTGATAGCGTATATATTAACTTTTATATAAATGCACATAGTGTTCTCCTTTATATAAACACACATGCACAAACTTTATAACTGACGCTAGCACTTTCCTGTTGTAAATCTATTTCTTCAACTATGTAGGATGTAGACCGTGTTGAAAAGGTTTGTATGTAGGGCATATCATCTGCAGACACAACATTTTATACACCAGTAGTGTCATTTGAATATGTTTACCAAGTTAATATTGTTGGATTATTTCGTCAGTATATGATGTCTACTTACATAAATATTAAACTATATCAAAGACATGGATGCTTTGAAAATTGAAGCGATACATCTAGAAATCAAATGGTGTTTCAGATTGACACTACTGGTCGTGTAGTATGAATACTATCCAGTGTAAAACTATACAGAACAAAAACCTGATCTTAATGATAAATTGAATTATTTGATCTATTCACGCTTGCTTTCATAATCGTTTTCCTCTCTTTTATTTGCTAGTATAAGCTTTTAGACCCGTATACAGTTACCTTAAAAAGGAAAGCTTTTTTGCATTTATATTGTAAAAACATGGCTAGATAGCTGTAGTGACATGCTATAGAAATCTTGACAAGTTATTTTACAAAGGTTAGCACGTATGCAAATGGTTGAACGGATAATGGCTTTTTGTTTGAAGTTTCTGTTTTCAGTGATAAAAGGTATTATAATGAATACGGGTTTAAAGGTGATATGCCTTATTTTGTATTAACGACTCCTTATCCCAAAGCAATACAACAAATTTTTAAATCAGAACATATAAAATGAAATTTCCTCAAAGCAGCAAACATATACAGACGGAATTTCAAAAGCTCTAGAAATCAACCTCAGGTGAACGGAAAAAAAATCATTGATGACAATGACGAAGTATATGTTTATTTTATTCATAATTAAAACCTGTATTTCCATTTCCAGTTAATGCATATTGATTCGATGCATAATTCATTACTTGACAATTAAGGTTATTTCTATAACGCATTCATAAAAGGTTATTGCATTTTATTCATTTCCGTTCTGTTTCACATTGATATGCTGTAATAATAATACCTTTTTATTATTTATTTAAACATAAATATTTTTTGTTTTGTATTATCAAACAACGCAATTGTCATTATATCTTTTTCTTCATGATATTATAGATAAAAGTTTTGGTTGACTATGTTAAAAAGGCATTTAAAGAATACCTTTTACGAAAGATCTGGATGGACTCTACAACGAAACAACATGCTTCTGCGAAGGTAAATGTTTTGTTCGATTCTTAACAACAATTACCTTTAATGATCTGATGACATGGAAACAAATTATTTTATAGCCAGTCATGTTATGTTTTGTTTCCATAGGATTGATGTGGGTAATAATATTGCTGTTTACGGTTTTTGAAAATATTATATCAATTGAATTATCTCATCTGCTTGTTTAATAATGTGATAATTGTGATAGTTTATTCCAATGATTGGGAAACAAAAGTGATACCTAGTTTATTCTTTTTCCTTTTGGGTGAAAATAGTAATATGTTGCTAATTTTTATTATTATATAAATTTATTTCTTTTATTTTAGATTGATGAAATGATTGAGAAAGTCAGTTATCCGTCCTTTATTTTAAATACTACATTCCTCGACCAGTTTTATGAGCAGGTTAGATTGTTTTTTTATTATTTTACTTTCATTTGATAGTTGAAATTATTTCCGAATGTAATTGATCAATATTTCATCCGTACCAAAAACCTATGGCACAGCTTGTATGATATATAATATTCAGACATAATTTAAGTGATTCACCGGTATTATTTGATCTCAGGAGAGTAATAAAAGAAAACTGTATACGCCTGAGAGACAAAAATGAAATTATTTGCTCCATTTATAATGTTATACACGAGCGAATCATAACGAATTTACTATATAATGTAAATGTTATTAATTAATTGCTATGACTTCACAACGCTTTAACATTTGATTGAAAATAAGACCAATATTTTGATAAAATCATACTTTGATTGTCTGAAGAATTTCAACATATAATATGAAATATTATATTACAAATAGAGCGTACTATAAAATATTATTTTACATTATACTAAGTTTCGTTACAAAAGATAAAAAGTTTTATTTTATTTTGTAGTTTTCTGTTGGCTCGGACTGGTTTAGAAACTTGCTCAATTGGAGAACATTCACCATACAGAACATGATAAACGACTTAAATGAAAGTTTTGACAGACACAACAGGTATAAAACATGGTTAACATTTGTAAAGAACATAGACAAAATTCAGTTGTTATCATATGAGCTGCGTCACGACGAAACCAACATAGTGCGTTTACGACCAGCATGGATCCTGATCAGACTTCGCGGATGCGCAGGCTGGTCTGGATCCATGCTGGTCGCAAACGCACTATGTTGGTTTTGTCGTGACGCGGCTCATATGTTTAAAGCACTGGAAAAAAATAATTATCCGTCTGTTAAACTAAATTATATTACCACTTTTACAAGTTGTTTATACGATAGATTAATGGGATTGTTTTGAATACATCGAGTATCTAAATCTCAAACATAACATAAACACATGTACATGCTGTACTTTACTTAACGTTTTAAAAGAACATTACAATAACTTTTGGAGACTATTTCGTGTTTTTGAAAAAATATTCTGTTCAAAGCAATGACATATTTCGAAATTATCATTGCAGTTGGCTGAATCCACCTGTGACTGTTGAATCAGATTACTCGCCAGTCCGTAATGATATAATCTTCCCCATAGCCTTATTTCATCTACCAATATTTAGCAATGAAGGGCCCAGGTAAGTGACAGTTTACATATGAATCTAGTTTAACATAACATAACGTGTGTGTACTATACCTATATCTCAATAAACTATTTGAGTCTATTCTACGAGAACTGTCATTATCGTTTTTGTATCTAATTTATATAATAAAGAAGAAGTTTTATTTATATTTGTAATTAGCTCAATCTTTGGACTTCAAAAAATATATTAAAGATTTTCACACACTTTCTTGTTTTAGTGCCTTAAATTTTGGTGCGATCGGGTCGTTGATTGGTCACGAAATAACTCATGCTTTTGACATACAAGGTTTGTATAATCATATTTCATCACGAAACTTACACTTTCTGGTGCATTGGAAGATCTGCGATTTGTGATAGTATGTTGTAATAGAGGTATAACAACAAATCATGAAAGAACTATACATGAAATGTTTTGGCAATTCAGATATCACATATATTTTTATAGCAGATTATAACTTGTTCTGGAACAAAATATTATAATCCATCATATAAATGTTCAAATTACATCACTGAAAATATCAACATTAAGAGCTTGTAATAGTTTTTAAGGATACGGTAAATTTATGTTGTTTTTAACAATATTTGGAATACTTTTTGAAAAATGCCCAGCGTAGACCATTCAACATTCATACAATAATTATTTTTGTTTAATATATGCTCATGTGTTTGTTTCTGTAAATTGAGTCGTTTTTATTATTAATTACATGCTAATTACTTCGAATGCAGTCTAAAGATTTATTCCTGTTGATAATATTGATAACAGGATAATAACTTGGAATATTTATCTCAGAAAATTGCCTTGCTGATTACACCTTAGTTACTTCTTACTTAATAGCTTATGAGAGTGTTTATTACTAAAACTTCAAGTTCGTTAAGGTGAACTATATTTCTTTCTGTAAAGTTTTCTAAACACACACAGGAAGAAAAACAAACTTGTTACAGATGTCATTTTGTGTATAAATGTATAATTCAGGAAGACAGTATGACGGCAAAGGTGTCCTCAGAGACTGGTGGGATCCTCTTACTGCCAAACAGTTTAATGTAACTACTCACTGTATGAAAGACCAGTATGATCATTTCAAGATCAACAATCATACAGTAAGTATGCAGACAATTTTTAATATTTAAGGTGTTTTTCTATTTATTATGTATTTTAATACATTTCAATCAGTGAAATATAAGTCAGATTTCTTTGTGGCACTGAGTAAACAGAAGAATTGTTGTTCCAGTTAATTTTATGGAATAAAGGTATAGCAAAGTTAAAATTAGGGTGTATTAAGATAAAGACTTGACAGATATTTTTTAATAAGATGCCTTCAATCCGTTACAACCGGTTTAAATGCCAAATTACAGATTACTTGAAGTGGAGTATGTCTGTATTATTTTCCATTCGAAATTAGAGTTTTCTGGCGGTCTTGTAAAAAAAGGACTCTTAGTCGAATATATATTTCACATTTTCTACAAACAATGTCGATGTTTCCAGAGACTGCAGAACCGCAATTTTTAATAATGATGGCAGCATGTTGATTTATTTTAATGAAATTATAGGCGTTGGCTTGTGGCTTAAATTGAACATGGTTTCTTTTACATGTAAAAGTTTCAGCTTCCAGCCGAAATATAGTAGTCACTGCGATATTTGGCAATTTTACTTATCCTGGACTCTTTTAAAAATTTTCTTGTAAAATGCGTTTTGTTACAGTTTTGTTAAAGTAAAATGACTGATGCAGCTCCTTGGCGGTAATGAAATATGATGGGTTATGTTTGTTCGGAAGCATTTTGAACATATTAAGTGATTTTTATCTGTTACACAGTAAAGGTTTTAAATGTTGACTGCAATATCTAAATAAATTTTAATAATTTTAAAGTTAATTTACGTTTTGGCTACGAAAATTATTATAAAATATCATATCCAATTTATGTCATAATTATTTACTATAATTATTTCAGATAAATGGGGAGCAAACGCTAGAGGAAAATATTGCTGATAATGGCGGACTACGAGCCGCAAATATTGTAAGTGAGCCTTTATTTTAGAAACACCACTCCTTTTAGAACTTTAACCATATTGTAAATAATTTGTCGTGATAAACTATTACTGAAACTTCTTTTAATAGCTTGCTTTAGTAGCAGACTAATAAATGTAAATGTACGCTAAATTATAACATCATGTTTTCATTTTACAGGCATATGAATTATGGTTAAACGAACACGGAACTGAAGAACCAATTCCAGGTGTTACACTAACTAATCGACAAATATTCTATGTCAGCTTTGCTCAGGTAACTAGAAACTTGTATTGCAGATCATCAGCTCTTAGAACAAAACACAGTTAAATATCTGACTAGTAATTTTTAGTAAAAAAAAATTTGGGTAGAAATATTTTAAGATAATGATAATCAATGCATATTCCCATCGATCTATTTCAGTTATATTGCTCAAAATGGACAGATTCTGGGATCGAAGACTTTTTGTTGTGGGATACCCATAGTCCTGGGCCATATAGGTTAGTATGAATTAGTGTAATAATTTAGCTATTTGTATTTAAAACATTAACGTGGAAACATGTTATTACATTATGCAAGTTTTAAAACATAAACGATCAATTGTAAATATTTTTGCAACTTTCATTGAATATATAAAACAATATAGTATTTGCTAGGTTGAACATAGTGAGGGGCTATGTGACCTAAACACTGCTTTCTCTTGCTGGTCTTTTTGGTCATACTTTGAAATAATCTTTTCACTATATTATAATTCAAATATACAAGTGTACCTGTTAAATCAATGCTTACATAAAGTTCTATTATTTGCAGAATTGAAGGTGCCTTGTCGAATTCACTAGCATTCCAGGAAGTGTTCAAGTGCTCTTATATTTCACAATACAATCCAGCAACCAAATGTGAAGTTTGGTAGTTTGCATCAAAAGTCAACTCAAAGAAGACTGCTTCGCTAGCGTTTGCTATTTAAGTTGCTGCTTGTATATACAAATAATGCAAAAAGTCTTTTGACATCTACTAGATAGATAAAATATAAGATAATCAAAGTTGCAAGAAATCAACTGTTATCAAATAGATGTTTGTATAGTAATAAATTGATTAGGATCTGGTGTTGGTGAAAAGGACAATATGTAAATACTTTGACATACTAACAACGGTTAGCCTTTTTTGTTTTCAATGTGATATATTTGCAAGGAAATGGCGTTATTCTCTACAATAAACATTGCTTTTCAAAGCTTCTGTAGAGAAAATTGAGGAGTCTTTTGTGATATTTACTCCGACCTTTTCGTGATCAAAGTATAGCTTTCAGTTGATGTAGATGGAGGTGAGATTATACTTTGCCCTGTGAAGTTTTTGTGTTCTTAATTTGCAGTTGCGAATATTTTTTATTTAAAACAATAGAGTAACTTCAAGGACAAGTGTATGTTATGTTAGTGTTTATTGTTTGTATTTTATGTTAAGACATCCAATTTATGTTTATTATAAGCTGTGAATGCTTATTAATTTAAGACTATGAAGAATGAACAAAGACAACTGGATATTAAGTTGAACTATTTTGAATGTGAGCAAAGGTTTGATGTGTAATTGATACATGATGAGTAATTGATACTTGACGTTTTGCTTTTGCCTGGATAAGCAATCTATAAAAAGAGGTTCAGTTAAATTTAAAATTTGTGAATCCTTTTAAAACTGTTTAGTTTATGTTTTCTAATTTATTTTTTGCCATGCTTTGCTTTATTGCTAGTTAAACAGATCAGTTACATACAATCATTTACATGACAAAAGAATTAAGATCAGGAGTGATCAACAAACCTTAAAACAAAATTAACTTTAAACCCAATGTTGTTTTGTAAGATTAATAACATATTTTATTTACTTGAAAATTTGACATTTTGTAAGCATTGATATGAATGGGAATATAATTCTTGGACTGGTTTTTATCAATCTAATATATTTTTAGCTATGTTGGTCATATTTTGTAAACCAAACAATACGTTTCCGGGTGAAAGGATAAAGTGCAATGCGCGGATTAAAAAAATAATTAAAGAGAGAAAATCTTTAAACACAGATAAAAAACTTCACTGAATTTACACGTTTAGATTTATTTTGTCTTGTAAAATGCGTAAATGCGTCTTTAAATTGATTGGCCGAGTGATTCGACTTCACACCACTCACCAATTGTCGTTGTTGGTTCGAATCCCGCCAGGACTGGGATATTTTTATGTGAGGAAGCTATTGAGCTAGCTTACAGACGCCTGTGGTTCTACTTGGATGCTAATTCGTACCCAAAATATTGCATAGAAGGGCACCCAAGGCCTTCCTTCACAAGTAAAGCTAAAAAGTTGCCATTTTAACATTACAGTGTACGTGCAACATCAAACCAAATAACAAAAATAGTAATTGCGTAGATTTAAAATAAAATACAGTGTAAAAAATCTTTTAATCTTAAATGTCAATGAGCTTATTAAGTTTTCTAGTTTACAGTTGCTATCGTGTTCTGACTTTGTCTCTCCGCTGCCGTTTCTATATATAGATGTTAATTGTCTGATAATTAGCAAAACATTGGATTCATTATGCAACGTTTCAAGTCCATTAAAATATTGAATCTTTCTGTTTTGCTATGATTTTTTTTAAATGTATCTGTATATTTTTATTAAGGTATCTTATGCTTTGCTTTTCTTTTAGTTAGAAGAATCGATGAAAAGATAAGAAAAAATTTTGGACAAACATATCTGTTTTCGTTTTATTTTCTAGATGTGAAAAGAGTTGATATCAAAAGGATTATATACCATGAATACAAAATGGCAATGTTATTGATATCTTTATGATGTATTTGGTTGACTAAATTGTTATTGTTGTCTGTTTATTATGACTGTGTAAATAACTGAGTTTATCTTTAAAGAAAGTACTTCCAGAGTTTTATCATATCATGCATTCTTATATATTTTTGCAATAAAGATTCTTGATAAAGATTGTGGTCATGTCATATATTATTTCTTATACAAACACATCTGTCAATATTTGATCTTTTACCTATTTCTGCCTAATAAGAAGGTCAATATTAGAACATGACTGACTGCTAATTTTTAATTGTTTGTCTACAGTGTTTAATGTATTACCATTCACCATTTTTAAACGCAGAGTATATTGGACAAACAGTATGCGCATACGAAATGTAGTACAATTACTGCGCAAGGTAGACACTAATAAGAAATAGAGAAAACAGAAGCAGAAAACAAATTTAAACAGCTACATTATGTTGTTTTGCTACCTCCCCTAAATTAAATCATCAGCTTTTCTTATAAGCGTTTAACTTATACATAACAGGAACTTTGCACAACTACTCCAAAAAAGGATGTAAAATGCCAAAGCATAATTTACTGTTACAGTATATTTAGTACGGAAAGCCTCAAATAAGAGCTATCATTATATTACCATAACAAATATCCAATGCTGTATTCTACGAGCTAACAATATCCTTGTGGTCGTGTTACATTACATTTGTATTGAGTATATATACGAGGGGTGATCCAAAAATTCGTGGACACCCTGTATAAAACAAAAAGTAATAAAGCAAATCACGTGTAATTCTAGTATCTTATTAAGTGAGCATATGTCGGCAAATTCTCAAAATATTGTAAAGATTGTACAAGAATTAACGATTCTGCACCAGTTTATATGCATAGACATGACAAAATGCGGCGCAGCTCACGACGTCACAAACGACGTTATGCCATCATAGGAAGTAATCTACGTTACCGTTTTGCCTTATAACTTTTCAAAGTACGGTATTCCCCTTAAACCCGCACACATTTTTCATGGCGGCGGACCCAGTCTCTAAATGTACTCGCATACCATTCCTGGCTGAATGATGACAGTATGCATTGGGTGGCTCCTCTCAACTCGTCCATTGCATAGATTGTTGTTTTGATTCAGGATCAAAGAAAAATAGCCATGTCTCGTCAACAGTGACAATGCGATCTAAATACTGTTGACCCTCTTTCTGAAAACGTTGCAAGAAATTTTTTGACGCCTGAACTCGTTGTTGTTTTTCATCCGCTGACAGCAGTCGACATCGAGCACTCAAACGACGCATTTCTAGCTCTTCAGTTACAATTCTCTGAACAGTTCCATACGATAAATTTAAAGAATCACTGATCTGCCTTAAACTTATCCGTCTGTCTTCATTAATCTTCGCACGCACACTTTCAACAGTTTCTTTGCCTCTTACCTCGACAGGTCGACCAGTCCGCAAATCATCCCCAACACTTTCCCTTCCATCCAAAAATCGTCGATGCCACTTATAAATTAGAGAACGACACACTGACGGTTTATTTGTCACACTTTCGATCATTGTTTTTGTCTCCCCTGGCATCTTTCCAAGATTTACACAGAACTGTATAACTGTCCGAAGTTTTGCTGGATCCGGGACGTCCATTTTTGTATTTTCTGATCGAAGATCAGTGAAATACAAAGCGGACATTCAATCTCTGACACAGAATTTCACGACAGACCTAACAACAAGTAGTTCTCAAAACAGCTTAAAACTAGCAATCTAAAAGAAAGAAATATTTTTATTTTGTTACAAGTATCTAACAAATTACAACGCATTCAAAGTTTAAAAGTAGCGTTGGCTTATAGAATTGTCAATAAATTTACGCGGATGAATATGATTTTAATCAATGAAAATGCTATTTTTAGCGATGTCGATTACCGAATACTACACAAATAAATCTGACTGCCGGGTAGTGGAATATATAGATTCTACATGTCGAACTGTTTAGGCGAGAAGATTTTTGCTAAATTATTTACTTCAATTTTAAACAACAAGTTTATCCTGAACAAAATACCTCGAAATTAATAAGGATTACAAACCCGAAAAGCAATGGAAGTTCTAAATTTAGAATGACTTGATTTTAACCAGGCATTGTTTGTGCTGCAGAGGTAACGCGCCCGTTTCGTGAGACAAGTTTAAATCCCAGTCAAAGCATTTTTTTTTTAAAATTCTTTTTTAAGTGTCTTTGTTTAAGAAATAGACATGATATGCAAGGATAAAGTGTGGCTGTCATAAAAAATGAACATAAATGACTTTTTGATGCAACTCTAGTTATGCAAAATTCCGTATGTATCAAACTCTGGTGCCTTGCAAGATGAATTATAGTACATAAAAATAAACTAATACAGGAAAATACATACAGATATACAGTACGATTTAGATTACAAAGATTAGAAAATACCACAGAGCTTGCAGCCCTTTGATTGATAAAGCTGTTTTAGCACCTCTTCTTTAAAGCACGAGCGTAAAATATCCGCAACTTCAAAATGTCTTCTGATATTGACAGAATGACGTCATACACATCAAAACAACGTTATTATAACGTTTCCCGCAATTTTCTTTGTTTGCACAGGTTTAACATGTGTTTAAATGAGATGAAAACGTTTACACCACAGAGATAAAATAAGCTGAGCCGCGATTTTGATACTTAATGTTTTGATGTTGTCATATATAGATAAAAAATGCAATTGGTGTTTTAAAATTTGGTCAATTTATTAAAAAAAGCATTGATTAATAATATCCAAAGAGTTCACCTCGGTAGGAATTCACGTTATGGAGATACACACATTGTCCACGAATTTTTGGATCACCCCTCGTATAAAGAAACGAACATACCAGTGTATTAGACATTTTATTCTGTTATTGATCTGGTGAATATGTATCGATACTTTTTTGGTCATCAATGGTCGAAATTAAATCTTATTTAATATTAAAACTGATTGGATGCTACATGCTTTGCAGCTATTCTGAAATATCTTATAAAATCAGACACGTTATTGCAATAATCTGCGGAAAAATACACCAAGGGTCGCTAATTCCCGATCGAACCGTTTACAACCGGGTTGAGGTTTTCCTAATCCTCTGTCAACGATTGGTCTCATTTACTAGTACACTTGAATACTTAGTGAAAACACGAGTTCTACTACTTCAACAAAAACGATATTACGGCGGTTGACGTTCCATAGTTGACAAATAACATTTTACCTTAGCATAGATTTTTCTACTGATCTAGATAATTTGATAAAAAATATTTATTGAAAATAGATTTAAATGAGATTGGTCATGAAATGAAATAATAAATAAATTCAAAAGATACGTCACAATTTCGCATTTTTACAACACGATGCAAAATGTCATAAAAATAGTGTTTACGAAGATTTCAGCAGCATTTTACTTTACAAAAGTGTTTATTCTTAATATAATGTAAACAATCGGTTAGGAGAAAGTTGGACCACGGTAAAAACTATGTAATCAATTTTGACTCCTTGGACATTCTATTAGACTTGGTCTCATATTTCGATCCAATGAGTTCTAACAAAGTTTCAATGTAGTCAATGACGTATGAATAGGAACACGGTAAATGGTGTCTGCAAAAATATTATTATTGCAAACCGAGTCTTCAATTTTATTGTAATTTTGCTGTGACTAACGAGGGAGCACTTTGTTTTCAGATTGTTATACTTCACAACAGCAGGTGTCAAATGCCGTGTGGTAGCTGTAAAAAGTTGCCCCGTACTTCACTTCAGTGTTGTAATATTAATTTGGTCCTTCGGGATCGATCATTAATGCCAGCACTATTAAGTGTTGAAAATTGAGTACCCCTCAAATCGGTGCTAGGGGGAGTGGATGATTGTTGCACTTATTCATTATCTCTTATATACAGACTCAATCAAACCGAGTCTGCAATTTTCATGTAATTTTGTTGTGATAAATGCTTCCGAGTGATCACTTTGTTTCCATATTTTTGCATAAGCCTATGTGAGATAAGATTTTCCAGCACCGCCATTTTTAGAACATTTATGGATTTCTACATTAGTGAATTCTATTATTCAATCTTATTAGTATTTATGACATATCTTTTTTTTGTATCATTACATAGAATATATGAAGACGAATATATTCAATAAACAGAGGGCTTTCCTTTCCTAGAAACTTTTTAATTAATGACAGAGAAACAATGAATATAAACGCTTAAATTATAAGGAGAATTTACTGGTCAATGTTACATTCCAATTTCAAAGCTGTCGAAATTAAGTAATAAAACATAATCCCTTCCTTAAAATCGAAGTAATTGTGATGAATCTCCATTTATTGACAATCTGAACGTAATTGAGACGACTATGAGCGAAAATAGAATGATTTAAAAAGGATAATGATAGGTGAGGCAGATGTTAATGTACAGAAAATAGTATACCTATAGTTGGTTTGTATCTTTCTTCGTTTCTAGAATCAGTTGTTTTTTTCTATTACTACCATTACTTATATTCATATTATACAATAACGGCCTTGGCTGCATTTAAAGCAAAAGTTGAGGGGAGCGTGGACACAGAAGTTAAGGTGTCTGCCTCTAAACCCAGGGTTCTTGGATTCAAGCCAAACCGGGTCACGACCATATTTCGTCATGTGACACCAGTTCGCTTAATAAAAGGAAGCAGACACGAAGAGATTGATAAGCAATCGAGCTTAAATATATATGTTTAAACTAAACCAAATAGTTTGATCATAAAATACCATAATATCCAAATACCATAATTCTCTATACATATACAAATACAATGCATATTAAATCATGTTTTTTCACAAATTGCGCCCTGTATTCCTTCGAGATGCATATGCTGAATCTTTTAATTTATCTACAATCATTAATATCATCTGAAAACGTTAATGCGCGGACGATTAAAATGCTCTTTGCGATGAAATATCTCACAGACGTATAATAATATAATTATACAAACAACGAGGTATGACATGGGCTACAATGAGCATTTAAAATGCACTCAGTTTAGCGATGCCTATATAATTTTGAAAAATGCTATAACATGTTGTTCAAAGTTGCACCATAGTCATCTCAATGCTGCAAAAGTTTTGCTTTTTTTAGAGATCATTGATTCCGGAAACTTTAACAGTTGAAGATCTAA